GGACCAAAACAAATAAGACAAGCGTCCCCGCGTACCCAAGTACTACTCATGCAGGGAAAAAGGGTATAGTGTGTCGAAAAGGACAGAATTGAACAACTGATCAGATTAAGACACAACAAACAAGAAATAGAGAGGTATTAATGGCAATGAACAAAATTGCTAAAAGGGGTATTCGTCCGATCGTTCCCAAGGAAATGTAGGCAAGGAAAGAAGATAAAAATAAGCAAGGAAAAAAAATAGGCGGTTGCACGCTCGCTCGCTTCAGTAGTAGAACAAAAATATTTAGACCGTGTCAAAAGTCATTCAGGGTGTTTGAATCGACATAAGGAGTTCCCATGCATACGTGGTATGTATGGCATGTCTGGACCTAGTTAGTGAAGCTTACTTGTGTCTTCAGCTTTTCGGTTGTCCGTCTCCTTGAGACGGTACGCTCGCTCGAATATCGTGTGGCGTTGTTCCAGTCCTCCCAGTCGCTCGCCATCTCCGTGAGCACATTGCCCATGACCTGCGCGCTAGCCATGAGTCCGTGCTGCTCGCCCTCCAAGATGCGGACCTCGCATTTCCGCATTAGCTTGCCTAGCCATCGCACATTGTCGACGGGCACGCGTGAGTCCTTGGATCCATGGTGAATGACGACTGGGCGGTTAATGTCTTCGTATCGGAAACCAATGCTCTGCTTGGTTTCTAGGCAGACGATGAGATCGGTGGCAGGATTGGCGTTTGCAGTTGCACGGTCCCAGATTGCAAAAGTAAGACGCTCGTCGAAAGCACGCTGTCGCTCGCGTTCAGCTATACTCATCATTTCTTGCATGCGCTGCACCTCTTCGTCATTCTGGCACGGCGAATTCGCTAGAGTCAAGGTACTGGCATTCGGCAAAACCTGGTCCATGACCATCATGGAGTGTCGGTGCGTATCTTTTAGTGGTGGCCTTACGGCGGCCTGGCTTGGCGTTGGCGAAGGTGCGATGCTTTTCCGCCTTGCCTTAGGCGCGGTCTTGGGTCCGGTCCGTTGGAGACTGGCACTCGTTGCACTTAGGAAGGTCGAGTTTGCTACCTTGAGAAGCGATGGAGGCAGGGCACGGAGGAAGCGTTGTGATCTCGGAAGTTGCTGTGTTGGTGGGCTGTCCTGGCTAATACCGATAGGCGCCATTTGCGATGGGGGGATCCAAGGCGCAAGCAAGTGCACTTTGCCGCGTATGTGTTGTGGCATTCGCAGCGATGTTGCAAGAGCGTAGACGGCTCCTGCCGAATGTGCTAGTATGGAGAACTTGTTGATCTTCAAGGCTTGACATATTATGAGGACGTCATCTAAGTCAATGTTAGTACACAACAAAAGGAGCGGACTGCTGACCCATCGACTTACCAGGCCAACTAAGTGGAGTCCCATTCGGATCAACTTGACTTGCTCCAATACCAGGGCGGTCCGGCGTAATCAGTCGCAGCTTTAGTGTAGCAGCGAGCTGATCGTAAAAGGCCATTACATATCTCGTGAGGCCCATGCCAACACAGACAAAGACGGCAAACCCTTGGGGATCACCAACTTCGGAAAAGGATATAAGCCTGCCAGTTTGCGGATGCCGAATCTTTTGCGACAAGCGCTCCGAATCCAGGTATTGATTCACATCCAGATCAATGGAATCGCGGCTCGCTGGTCGCTCTTCAATTATCGGCTGTGGTGGAGTTTGCACGGCCGCGGCTCGTGCGCTTTCTTCTTTCCGTTCTATTCTGTCGTTATGCGCTTTCTCTGCTTTGGCTGGCAAATCGGGGTGAGACCACCTCTTCTTGGCGCCCGTGCGCTTGCGATGAAGCTGCGCGCTATGGGAATCTGGCATAGGCGTTATGAGCATTGAGCGGTGGCGGGTGATGGGCTCTTCGCTGGCCGCCCGTGAAGGCAGAGTCAGTCTGGAACTCGATTCATCAGTGACACTGGAAGAGTGCTTGTGTCCGGAAGGTTTGGTGACGATGATGGCAGTGGTTGCCGCTCGCCGCGCGACTGCGGACCTCCCTCCGACGACGAGCGAGTTGGAGCGCCTGAGCACAGAAGACTCGGAGCTTGTCATTGTGGATTTGGAAGCGATGCTCGGGGGGGCAGGCGGCTTTGATGGCCGTGTGTTTGGAGCAAACATTGGGGAGAGTTGGCCGAGGCTTTCGAGGGCAAGCGTGTAGTCGATGGGGAGCTGGTTCACACCATCGCTATCGTTTAGCGTTAGACTCCGGGGTCTAGGCCGCATGCTTCGTGCTCGATTCGGTGCTGAAGGATCGTGCCTATCCGCATATTCTCTATCAACAGGCCTATCTGCTGGATCCTGCAAGATACCGAGGACCTTGTGTGCCTTTGTGGAGTCACTAATTCTCCTTCCATCATCTGACACACTTGACACAGTTGTAGTGGGGGAGCACAGAGGACTTGAAGTAGATGAAACACAAGGCAACCTAGGTGGTGTCGCCCCTGCATCCATTTCTGACGGCAAAACTCCGGCCAATTTCTCCCTCTGCATTTTGCGCTCTCGCAGCTGTCGAATCCTTCGAGCAACTTCATTTTCTTCCTGTTCCAGCTCGTCCAGAATCTTCTTCTGCTTCTGCGCCTCTGGATCCAATTTCTCTTCTGATGCCATTTTCTTGGCTGATTCGGCCGCGTGCTCGGCTTTATTGCTGGACTTGTGTCGGCTCTTTTCCTCGGAGCGATGCTTCCTGGATTTGCGCGTCGGACTAGCTGCGTGCCTCAAGGATGAGCCACGTTCGGGGATCAGGCCTTTCTCCGCTGGACTCTCGCCGTATGGACCATCTACTAGATTCAAGCGAACTCGGCGCGTGCTCGGGTATCGCGGGACAAAGCGAGATGGGTCGTCGTTAAGGTCGTCGATGTCGAGTTCGTCTTTTGCGGATAAAGGCTCTTCCTTGATCGTATCTTCGTAGGGGAAAAGATGGGTCGTGTTCTTCCTTGGGGAGTCGGTAGTCGAGATGTCGTCAAAGCCGTGTACAGTTGCGCGTTTTCGTTCAGTTTCCTTTTGCCGCAGCCGCTCGCGCGAGCTCATGTACATCAGGCTCTTGTGGGCCTTGACACTGCGCTTGCTCTCGACGGAGGATCTGTTGCTGCCGATGGAGACCTGGCGCGTCGGCCCCGCCTCAATGCTGATGTTGCCAAAACTGCTTGCGGAGCGGTTCGAGTGTATGGACTGGAGGGAGCAGGAGCTGCTGCCGCTCCGGGCGAGGTAGTTGCTGAGCGAGTGCGGCTTGCTGGCCTTCTTGGGCGCGGTCAGGGGCGACTTGCCCGAGGGGGGCTTGGAAGTGCGGACAACGGGGGGCTCGCATGCGTCGTCTGGATCAATATGGTTCTGGTTTCTTAGTGAGTCGTGGTAGGAGGCGTGGTCGGCCGAGGCGCCATCGTATCCCGTGGCGATGGAGGTCTTGTCCGAGTGCGAGTGGGCGCGCAGGCTAGGGGCAGCAGAGGGGACAGGGGCGCTGTCGTAGCCCACGAGCAGGTTCTCAAAGTGGTTGTTTGCGGGGATAGAAATGGCGGACAGCTGGTCGATGAGCGAGGAGATAATCTGAGGCGAGGTGGCAGCGTTGCGAATGTAGTGCGAGGAGCGCTGTGCAGGGCGGGGGTCGGATGTCTTGATGGATAGCGGAAGGGAGTTGCGCCGTCGCGACCTTAAAGTCTGGTTCGCTGCTTCATTGGCGGCGGGCGAGCGCTGCGCGTTGTGTGCGTCCATAGCGGCCGCGTGCAGGTGACACTGGATCGGACCCAGACGGCTATGGTTTTGTCAAGACAAGTCAAGTCTAGAGTAGAAAAGACCACACAATAGGCACGGCTTTTCACATGGAACCAACTGCAGGTGAGGGCGATCAGTGCATGATCGGCATGCAAAGGGTCCGGGGCGCGTTGCTGCGCTGGTGCTGGTGCTGCTGTAAGTACAAGTACTTGGACACGCGCCGCCGCCGACTACGTGGATGGCAAAGGATGCCCTCGCTGGGAAGAGGCTGCAAGAGTCAATAGGTCCAGAGGGGGAGAGGAGACGGCGTCCGATGTTAAATTACACATGGGCGCCCCGAGACGAATAAGACGTGCCCACGGTCCTCTCAACCTTCAGGGTGTCTTCACCGTCGCCTCAAGGGTGCGATGGCAGAGGCCATGCGCTAGTCCGCTTTGGGAGATTGGCGAACCTTACCTCCTCCTCCCCCTCCCCCTCTTTCTCCTATGTCCTTGACTGCCCCCCGCCAACGTCCGCCTCCAGGGCCTGACCCCGTCTCATATCGTGAAATGCGCGCACTCTAACACGCCTAATTGACCTGTCTCTTGTCTCCCATACGCCACACCGCGCCTCAGGTGACATGGCACCGCTCGACTCTTCATCTGCCGTCGTTCAAGCACGCGTCACCCCTGAACTCGTGTTTTTCACGCCTACCACCTAGGACCCCGCCAAATATTGGGTTTTTACAGGACCCCTGGCGCCCCTCTTGGCCGTAGATACCCGTTGCTTCTGCTCCTGTCCGATTTCTTCATAAAAATGTGCTGCCTGCCGTAATCAACCACGTATGCCAAGCAAACTGCCAACCAGAAGATTAAAAGCACATACCATGCCACTGCCTCCTAGGACCGGGAGCAGCCGAAAATCATCCCAGGTTATCCTTTCCATACGCACAATGCCATGTACTTACGATCAGCGCCCCTTGCCTCGTCATACGCATATCGCACCAAGAACAAAAGGCGGAGATTGCCGGGTAGGAAAGCAGCGTCGTATCCAGATGCATTGTTTGATTGTAATCCAAGGTCAATACAACGGCTCCACGCATATAGCCCAGGCATCCTCAGTATTGTTCAGGCATTATGAGAAGGGTGAAGACGATGCCCAATTTGCAGATAACAATAACAAACAAGGCACAGACAGCAAGATGGAGCAACAAACTATCTTCGATCTAGCTCTAATTGTAATCACTCAAGCAAGCCGTTTCATCGGCCTGTTTCGCCCTCCGCTTAACAAAGCTCGTCCTAGGAAACTCTATCTAATCTCCGTACTCGATTCATGGACCGGATCGCGGCTACTACTTCGTTGCTCCCCCTCAAAACACTGTCCCTTCTCCATCACAGCCGCGCCGCCTTGTACCCTGTCCCCTTCCGCCGTTTCTTTCCCCGCGTCTCCACTCCCCAGTCCCTCTCCACTAACAGCCAGCGCATCTCTCTTTCTCCTTTGCTTCGCCCTCCACCTTTTGTGTAGACATGCCGCAAGTATACTGAGACCGATGGGTAGAATGGCCAGCAAGGCTCCAACCATGACAAATGTGGGTGCCCGATCTTTGATCATGATCGATCGCTGTCTAACGTGTGCGTGGGGGCCCAAAGTCTCAGCCCGAATGACTCGTATGCCGTAGTAAGCTTTTCGTATCTGACGATCTTTGTCTAAGGCGTGGTAGGGCAGAAGGCGCGTAATGAAGGCGTAACTTGTGGAAACTCAATGTCCGAAGGCGTAAGCTAGAAAACCTTTCTTGTTTTTTATTTGCTCGGAAGCGGGAGTAAGATGGTGATGGCGTGTATATCGTGTAATCGTTGGAAAGATCGGAGATGAGGGAGAGGGAGCCGTCTTGCAATATACTAACATCGACCATGGCCGTGTGTGCGTTTTGTCTAGTCCAACTAGAAGTACTACCTGACGATGCAACTTTTGCTTTCTTTTCGCCATTGCTTTCTCCTTCCCGGTTACTTTTTTCTTCTGGCCTCCGTCCCTACACATCCGAATTGTGACAGTGGTACGCACATGTCCTGTTGAACTAATACAGTAACATGGCAAATCAACATTCGCACTATCCTCCTTCCCCAAAGAGAATTAAGAAAAAAAGGAACATAATGTGGCCAACATGGCAAATTTGTTGTCTCCCAACCGGAACCTCGAAATAGGTACCCAACACACACCAAAAGGGAAAAGTAAAAGTAAAAGAACCATGGAAAACAATCAACGCTACCTTCTTCCCTCTCTCCATCAACCGCACACCCTCTAAGCTCTTCGCCTTCATCCTCATATCCATCAAGAAAAAAATAAAGCCTTCACTAAATCCCCACCACCGCGCCCCCCCTCCCTTCAACGGGCACCAAGCCCTAACATACACATGTAGTCGGAAAAGCGCCACTGTACAAGCCCGATATCCGCACCCGAAAGAAGAAATACAAAAACCAACCCATCAAGCACCACTAACATCCCCCGTCGCCCGCCACAGGGTCTCACGCACAAGCACAGGATGCCACGCTGATACACAACACACTCCCTAGCGCGGAAGCGGCAAGAGTAGCCGTGCGTGGTGGGGAGTAGGGGAAGTTGTGATGAGAAGATGGGCTAGGGGCTACGTGGGTATTTTACCTTGAAGAAGGAATGAGAGAGAGAGGGAGACTAAGAAGAGAGATGTGCGCCTTGCTGTTCTTGTTAATGATTTTTTTTGGGAGGGATACATGTGCGTGTAGGTGGTGAAGTTGGGAAGGTGTAGAGGTATAAGGTTGTGACTGAGGAGATATGAGAGTGGGTTTGTGTCTAGTGCTTTTTTGGGGAGGAATGTTGTGGTAGGTATCGTGTGGATTGGTGCGAAGGGGGTCAGAGATTGAGATGCCAATCATGCATGTTGGAATCACTTGAATGAACCTCGAGCGCTTTCACCTCGATTTAATACTTGTCAAAATGACGATGCTTGCAACTAGATCCAATGAAGTCTTGTATGAATTACATTCTGTTTGCAGAGAGGACCTACAACAACAACAAACTACCTGAAGCTAATGCTCTGCTAACGCGATGATATAAACATTGTGAAATGAGGATCGATCAACCAACCAACCAACCAGCAACGACAACAACGACAACAAAGGGAAACGAAAGGGTAGGGAGAAGAGAAAGACGGAAGAGAGAAGAAGAAAAAAAATGCTCAAAATGCTCTTAGTACCCCAGACCCAGAAACAAAACGGCAAACAATCCAACAATCCAACAAAAAAACGCCGCCAGTGAGTTGCAAAACAGGTCATATCAATCGTATCTATATCCAAGCGAAAAGACCACAAAAAAATGCAAAAAGATTTTTTCGCTCTTCGCTCTCGCTGCAGGAAAAACGCTCATTGTGGAACAAGGGAGGAGAAGAAAAGGCCAAAACGATGACGCAAACAGCGACGAAGAGGAAAAAAAGTGCTGGATGCAAAAAAAAAAGAGAGTATGCTCTCAGAAGAAAAGATTTCGCAACGAATGGACCGAGCGATGGCCAGGTGATTTCGAGTATGCGGGTTGAGAAAGAAAAAAGGGTAGTAGCGCGTGCCGGCACCATACTCGTACTGATGCAGTCCGGTCATGCTGTACGAGTCGAAAGAAAAGAAAAGAAAAAGTTTGTGAGTCGGATACTCCAGATCGACGTCAAATGTGAGTTACGTTAGTAGTAACGATGGATCTCAAAAGTCCACACTCCATCGAAATGCAGGATCCTTCTCTGGTGGTCCGGATTCACGATCAAAAGGCACATTGATGATGGCGTCTACCTCGTCGTCATCCTTCTTGATTTGGGAAATCTTGTCTTTTCGCGCTCGAGCAGCCATGTCTTCTTCTGAAGGGGGCAAGCGGATCTTGGCTTCGACCAGGGGTGCAGAGACGAAGCGCGAGGTTAGCAAGGCTTGGGGCGAGACGAGATCTTGGAGGCAGCTGAGGGAGCTGAGGTCGGAAGTGGTGGAGTTGCGATATACGGGTTTGGGTTTCTCAGGGAGAGCGTTCTCGTCTTGACCTGAGTTGCTGGAGGCTACAGTCGAGAGAACAGGGCGGCTTTGATGGGTGCGGAGTACTTGAACGTCCACACTCAGAGTGGAACTGCCACGTACAGTAATGTCGCTGGGGTCTTGAGAAGAATGCTGGGTGCTGGCAGTGTCTGTGCGTGCAATGGCCAGGTCGCGGGCCATGGCAGTATCCCGTCTTTTCCTGTTGGGTGAGCTACTAGTGGCAGACAGGGGCCGGGCTTGGGGTGTCTTGCAGCGACCGTGTGCAAGATTTGAGTGGGAGCCATTTGGAGAGTTTGTGAGGCGATCGGGTGTCTGTCCGCGTTCGAGCTTTTGCATCAGTTGTCGCGTACTCACCTGGCGGCCCAGACTCAGTTCTACGCGACTACTTGCACCACTGCCACTGCGACTCCGGTTCTTTGCTCGCTCTTTGCCTGCCATGACACTAGCTTTGGGCGGGGGTTGGAGCATCCATCTGTTTTCCGAAGGATCCGGCGACGGCAGGCTAACGACGGGTGGGTGCAGCTCATTGACCGGAGGGACGCGCGCGACATAGTAGCTTCCAGCCCTAGACACATTTGGCCTTTGCAATTGGTAGCCGCCACCGCCTACAGATGAGCCTGTCATTGTATGTTCGAGGGCTGTTGAGTGATCGTCGTAGCCCCATAGATCCTCGTCTTCTCGCTGGTAGCGCTTGTGGTTCCAAGTCTCGTCGTCGTCATCGAGCGTGTCGTCGCTGAGCCGGTTTTCAGCAGCATGGTCGACATCGAGGCTGCTTCCGCCTTTGCTCAGGGTTGAGCTTTGGGTGCCGCGGGTGGGCAGTCCCCTCGAGCCGGTCCTTTGTGTGGTGTTGGTCTTCCTCGATCTCCGGGGTGGTGGGCCAGGGCCCATTGCGATTTCCTCGCTCCAGTAGGCATTTGTGCCCGTGGGTTCAGGGTGGTAGTATGCGCCGGGCTGCTCGAGTTCCAGCTTCTCTCTCAGCTTGCGGGCCTCTTTTGCTGCTTTGCGTCTTTTTCTGCTGTCGCTGTAGCCGGTACAGGGGGCGCATGAGGCGTAATGGAAGAGGGCGCTCTGGACACCTCTCATGAACCAGGCCATGATGTAGAGGCGGTGAAATGAGCCAGCTCAGAGAAGGAGAAGAGGTATGGACGAGGTGGTTGGAACTCGACGGGTTTCGGATGGGCGCTGCGACGCAGGCCTGCCGAGCGAGAGACGACGTAGATGGGGGGAGCTTTCAGACGACGATGCAGCATGGAGAGTCATTGCCGCTCTCCTTCATGGAGCCTTCTTTAGCACGCGACAGAGTCAATTGCGGACTTGCAGCGGCCGTTTCGTCTAGTAGGTTTAAGGTGAGGGCGGCGCACGGATGCGGCTGGCGGCGGGTACGAGGGAGTAATAGGAAGGAGGATCAGGGCCCTCAGCTCACAATCCACAGCAGCTCAGCGGTAGCCGTTAGTCAAGGGTACAGGCACAGGCACAGGACAGGGCGCAAGCAGGCGGTAATGGGAACGGGGAGGCGGGCAGGACGGGGGGGGCTGCGCGTCTGCGTCTGTCGCGGATGTTGGGAGGTGAAGAAGCCGGGCGACGAGCCGTGGGCTCGTTGGAGTCGGATGGATGGCATTGCTGGGCGATCGTCATCCTTCCAAGAGGGCCCGTTTCCGAAGGCGAAACGTTGTGCTTTGCTGCTGCGGTATTAGCGCGGCAAGGCAGGCCGTCCGAGCCCGAAATAGCGACCAATTTGCCCGTGTTGAAACAGAGGTGCTGCTCGCCCTGCTCGCCCTGCCCTCGGCCCTACTCAGCGTGCAGCGATAACTAAGTTGGCATTAGCAGAGCAAGCCTCGTATTGTGGGCGTGCCAGGGCGGTGCCGTGCCGTGCAGTGCAGTGCAGTGACGGGTCAAGTACGACACCAACCTCGTCCGGTCCTTGCAGCCTCACAGTTTGCAGTATGGGGGCGGGGCTGGAATGCACAACCCATGGCGATAAACAGAATGGATGTCGATAGCCGCGGCACAAGATAGGCTGTCGGCTGAGGTGCCATGCCAACACATGCATAAACTAGCGGGGTTACTTGCTTGAGCCTCCCGCCATGCCCTCCGTTGCCGTGTCCACCCATACACATACAGTATAACCCATACCCACCCACACCCACAAGGACCCTTACCCGTATCCCATGCCCTGCCACATGGCCCGCGCCCCGATTGCCCGTCCATGTACACACTCACCAGTACTAGCACATGCACACACATATCAACATATACATGTGCCCAGGTACATACACGGCTACTACCTACGTACGTAACAATATACGCTCTAAAACATGCATTTGGTATATTGCTCTTAGGAACCCTACACAACGCCTTGTCATATGCCTTCATAATCCACTCCTCTTCCCCTTAAAACAAAAGAATGACCCGTTGGCGCTCAAAACTTACAAGGCCCCACGTCATATCAGTTGCCTGCCGCAATTTGTAGAATTTCATCCACAATGAGTAAACTCTCTCGCTCTGGGAAAATATCTCAAAAAAAAGGAGCAGAGTAAGCAATCAGCAGAGCACACGCCATACCCACTCTTA